TTGTGATGTCTGTTAATGTTCCTGCTGGTCGTGTTATGTCTGTATAATGTTCCTGCTGGTCTTGTGATGTCTGTATAATGTTCCTGCTGGTCGTGTGATGTCTGTATAATATTCCTGCTGGTCTTGTGATGTCTGTATAATGTTCCTGCTGGTCTTGTGATGTCTGTATAATATTCCTGCTGGTCTTGTGATGTCTGTATAATGTTCTGCTGGTCTTGTGATGTCTGTATAATGTTCCTGCTGGTCGTGTGATGTCTGTATAATATTCCTGCTGGTCTTGTGATGTCTGTATAATGTTCCTGCTGGTCTTGTGATGTCTGTATAATGTTCCTGCTGGTCTTGTGATGTCTGTATAATGTTCCTGCTGGTCTTGTGATGTCTGTATAATGTTCCTGCTGGTCTTGTGATGTCTGTATAATGTTCCTGCTGGTCTTGTGATGTCTGTATAATGTTCCTGCTGGTCTTGTGATGTCTGTATAATGTTCCTGCTGGTCTTGTGATGTCTGTATAATGTTCCTGCTGGTCTTGTGATGTCTGTATAATGTTCCTGCTGGTCTTGTGATGTCTGTATAATGTTCCTGCTGGTCGTGTTATGTCTGTATAATGTTCCTGCTGGTCTTGTGATGTCTGTATAATGTTCCTGCTGGTCTTGTGATGTTGTATAATGTTCCTGCTGGTCTTGTGATGTCTGTAATAATATTCCTGCTGGTCGTGTGATGTCTGTATAATGTTCCTGCTGGTCGTGTTATGTCTGTATAATATTCCTGCTGGTCTTGTGATGTCTGTATAATGTTCCTGCTGGTCTGTTATGTCTGTATAATGTTCCTGCTGGTCGTGTTATGTCTGTATAATGTTCCTGTGGTCGTGTGATGTCTGTATATATTCTGCTGGTCTTGTGATGTCTGTATAATGTTCCTGCTGGTCTTGTGATGTCTGTATAATGTTCCTGCTGGTCGTGTTATGTCTGTATAATGTTCCTGTGGTCGTGTGATGTCTGTATAATATTCCTGCTGGTCTTTGTGATGTCTGTATAATGTTCCTGCTGTCTTGTGATGTCTGTATAATATTCCTGCTGGTCTTGTGATGTCTGTATAATATTCCTGCTGGTCTTGTGATGTCTGTATAATGTTCTGCTGGTCGTGTGATGTCTGTATAATGTTCCTGCTGGTCTTGTGATGTCTGTATAATGTTCCTGCTGGTCGTGTTATGTCTGTATAATGTTCCTGCTGGTCGTGTTATGTCTGTATAATGTTCCTGCTGGTCGTGTGATGTCTGTATAATATTCTGCTGGTCGTGTTATGTCTGTATAATGTTCCTGCTGGGTCTTGTGATGTCTGTATAATGTTCCTGCTGGTCTTGTGATGTCTGTATAATGTTCCTGCTGGTCTTGTGATGTCTGTATATGTTCCTGCTGGTCGTGTGATTGTCTGTATAATGTTCCTGCTGGTCTTGTGATGTCTGTATAATATTCCTGCTGGTCTTGTGATGTCTGTATAATGTTCCTGCTGGTCGTGTGATGTCTGTATAATGATTCCTGCTGGTCGTGTGATGTCTGTATAATGTTCCTGCTGGTCGTGTTATGTCTGTATAATATTCCTGCTGGTCTTGTGATGTCTGTATAATGTTCCTGCTGGTCTTGTGATGTCTGTATAATGTTCCTGCTGGTCTTGTGATGTCTGTATAATGTTCCTGCTGGTCGTGTATGTCTGTATAATGTTCCTGCTGGTCGTGTGATGTCTGTTTATATATTCCTGCTGGTCTTGTGATGTCTGTATAATGTTCCTGCTGGTCTTGTGATGTCTGTATAATGTTCCTGCTGGTCGTGTTATGTCTGTATAATGTTCTGCTGGTCTTGTGATGTCTGTAATAATATTCTGCTGGTCTTGTGATGTCTGTATAATGTTCCTGCTGGTCTTGTGATGTCTGTATAATGTTCCTGCTGGTCTTGTGATGTCTGTATAATGTTCCTGCTGGTCTTGTGATGTCTGTATAATGTTCCTGCTGGTCTTGTGATGTCTGTATAATGTTCCTGCTGGTCTTGTGATGTCTGTATAATGTTCCTGCTGGTCTTGTGATGTCTGTATAATGTTCCTGCTGGTCTTGTGATGTCTGTATAATGTTCCTGCTGGTCTTGTGATGTCTGTATAATGTTCCTGCTGGTCTTGTGATGTCTGTATAATGTTCCTGCTGGTCTTGTGATGTCTGTATAATGTTTCCTGCTGGTCTTGTGATGTCTGTATAATATTCCTGCTGGCTTTGGGGGTCTTGTGATGTCTGTATAATGTTCCTGCTGGTCTTGTGATGTCTGTATAATGTTCCTGCTGGTCTTGTGATGTCTGTATAATGATTCCTGCTGGTCGTGTTATGTCTGTATAATGTTCCTGCTGGTCGTGTTATGTCTGTATAATGTTCCTGCTGGTCTTGTGATGTCTGTATAATGTTCCTGCTGGTCTTGTGATGTTTGTCTTTTGTATAATATTCCTGCTGGTCTTGTGATGTCTGTATAATGTTCCTGCTGGTCTTGTGATGTCTGTATAATGTTCCTGCTGGTCTTGTGATGTCTGTATAATGTTCCTGCTGGTCGTGTTATGTCTGTATAATGTTCCTGCTGGTCTTGTGATGTCTGTATAATGTTCCTGCTGGTCGTGTTATGTCTGTATAATGTTCCTTGCTGTAGTCGTGTTTATGTCTGTATAATATTCCTGCTGGTCTTGTGATGTCTGTATAATGTTCCTGCTGGTCGTGTTATGTCTGTATAATGTTCCTGCTGGTCGTGTTATGTCTGTATAATTTCCTGGCGGATGCGTTCTTGTGATGTCTGTATAATGTTTCCTGCTGGTCTTGTGATGTCTGTATAATGTTCCTGCTGGTCTTGTGATGTCTGTATAATGTTCCTGCTGGTCTTGTGATGTCTGTAAATATTCCTGCTGGTCTTGTGATGTCTGTATAATGTTCCTGCTGGTCTTGTGATGTCTGTATAATATTCCTGCTGGTCTTGTGATGTCTGTATAATGTTCCTGCTGGTCTTGTTATGTCTGTATAATATTCCTGCTGGTCTTGTGATGTCTGTATAATGTTCCTGCTGGTCTGTGTGATGTCTGTATAATGTTCCTGCTGGTCTTGTGATGTCTGTATAATGTTCCTGCTGGTCTTGTGATGTCTGTATAATGTTCCTGCTGGTCTTGTGATGTCTGTATAATGTTCCTGCTGGTCGTGTTATGTCTGTATAATGTTCCTGCTGGTCTTGTGATGTCTGTATAATGTTCCTGCTGGTCTTGTGATGTCTGTATAATGTTCCTGCTGGTCTTGTGATGTCTGTATAATGTTCCTGCTGGTCGTGTTATGTCTGTATAATGTTCCTGCTGGTCTTGTGATGTCTGTATAATGTTCCTGCTGGTCGTGTTATGTCTGTATAATGTTCCTGCTGGTCGTGTTATGTCTGTATAATGTTCCTGCTGGTCGTGTTATGTCTGTATAATGTTCCTGCTGGTCTTGTGATGTCTGTATAATGTTCCTGCTGGTCGTGTTATGTCTGTATAATGTTCCTGCTGGTCTTGTGATGTCTGTATAATGTTCCTGCTGGTCTTGTGATGTCTGTATAATGTTCCTGCTGGTCTTGTGATGTCTGTATAATGTTCCTGCTGGTCGTGTTATGTCTGTATAATGTTCCTGCTGGTCTTGTGATGTCTGTATAATGTTCCTGCTGGTCTTGTGATGTCTGTATAATGTTCTGCTGGTCTTGTGATGTCTGTATAATGTTGTCCTGCTGGTCGTGTTATGTCTGTATAATGTTCCTGCTGTCTTGTGATGTCTGTATAATATTCCTGCTGGTCGTGTTATGTCTGTATAATATTCCTGCTGGTCTTTGTGATGTCTGTATAATGTTCCTGCTGGTCTTGTGATGTCTGTATAATGTTCCTGCTGGTCGTGTTATGTCTGTATAATGTTCCTGCTGGTCGTGTTATGTCTGTATAATATTCCTGCTGGTCGTTGTGATGTCTGTATAATGTTCCTGCTGGTCGTGTTATGTCTGTATAATGTCCTGCTGGTCGTGTGATGTCTGTTAATGTTCCTGCTGGTCTTGTGATGTCTGTATAATGTTCCTGCTGTCTTGTGATGTCTGTTAATGTTCCTGCTGGTCTTGTGATGTCTGTATAATGTCCTGCTGGTCTTGTGATGTCTGTATATGTTCCTGCTGGTCTTGTGATGTCTGTATAATGTTCCTGCTGGTCTTGTGATGTCTGTATAATATTCCTGCTGGTCTTGTGATGTCTGTATAATGTTCCTGCTGGTCTTGTGATGTCTGTATAATGTTCCTGCTGGTCTTGTGATGTCTGTATAATGTTCTGCTGGTCTTGTGATGTCTGTATAATGTTCCTGCTGGTCTTGTGATGTCTGTATAATGTTCCTGCTGGTCTTGTGATGTCTGTATAATGTTCCTGCTGGTCTTGTGATGTCTGTATAATGTTCCTGCTGGTCGTGTTATGTCTGTATAATGTTCCTGCTGGTCTTGTGATGTCTGTATAATGTTCCTGTGGTCGTGTGATGTCTGTATAATGTTCCTGCTGGTCTTGTGATGTCTGTATAATGTTCCTGCTGGTCGTGTTTATGTCTGTATAATGTTTCCTGCTGGTCTTGTGATGTCTGTATAATGTTCCTGCTGGTCTTGTGATGTCTGTATAATGTTCCTGCTGGTCTTGTGATGTCTGTATAATGTTCCTGCTGGTCGTGTTATGTCTGTATAATGTTCCTGCTGGTCGTGTGATGTCTGTATAATGTTCCTGCTGGTCGTGTTATGTCTGTATAATGTTCCTGCTGGTCGTGTTATGTCTGTATAATGTTCCTGCTGGTCTTGTGATGTCTGTTTTAATGTTCCTGCTGGTCTTGTGATGTCTGTATAATGTTCCAACGATCAAAGATACTAAGTTTAGCTGGTATAAGAGATCAGTTAAATTGTTATCCCACTCAACCGCCCTCATAGTTCTCCTTGTTGTCTCCAGGGTGACTCTGGAGGCCCTCTAGTGTGCTGCACCAACTCCACCGAAGACCTGGCTTCCTGCAGACTGACAGGCATCACCTCCTGGGGATCGGCTGTGCCACAGAGGGAATTCCAGGTGTTTACACAGAGGTGGCACACTACGTCGGCTGGCTGAGAAAGACCATCAGTAAGGAATATGGCGAGGACGAGCTGAGGACACTCTCATTCTTCGAAGAAGATAATGAATAGACAGATTATAGAACTGAATTGGAAGGAACAGTCTATTATCCTCAAATACCAGTTAAAACAGTTAATAATAAAACATATTAAGCTGAATATGATAGGATTTACATACAACATAATTCCACTGGTAATCGTTTTAGATAAAATTAAAAAATAAATAAAACATAAATATAGAAAATTGATGTCAGGCAGCCCTGACATCCATCATTTACAAGATTAGAACAAGAACCAGTAATATTGACCTAACACCCAAACAACGTAAAACGGTTGTTGCTACAATGGTTCTGCTGCATTATAGGTTCACTGTAAATTCTTGCAGCAAGTCTGGAGATTTTTTTACATATATGCGGGACCGCAGTCACACCGGATGGTGTGTACATGATAATAACACGAGTTAACACAGTATCAGTAGTTATATGTGAATATTTACGTTTTGTTATGGCAGTGTGGATGATAACAGCAGTACAAGTATCACGAGAGAGGAGCTGACACAGCTGACACAGCTGACTGAAGATGTTCGTTGTTAGTAAGCCAAGACCAGACAACAGTGAAAACAAACAGTGGAAGCAAACAACAGTGGAAGCAAACAGTGGAAGCACACAGACAACGGTGGAAGCAGACATCACTGGAAGCAGACACCACTGGAAGCAGACAGACAACACTGGAAGCAGACAGACAACACTGGAAGCAGACAGACAACACTGGAAACAGACAACACTGGAAGCGGACAGACAACACTGGAAGCAGACAGGCAACACTGGAAGCAGACAGACAACACTGGAAGCAGACAGACAACACTGGAAACAGACAGACAACACTGGAAGCAGACAGAAAGCACTGGAAGCAGACAGACAACACTGGAAGCAGACAACAATGGAAGCAGACAGACAACACTGGAAGCAGACAGACAACACTGGAAGCAGACAGACACCACTGGAAGCAGACACCACTGGAAGCAGACAGACAACACTGGAAGCAGACAGACACCACTGGAAGCAGACATACACCACTGGAAGCAGGCAGACAACACTGGAAGCAGACAGACAACACTGGAAGCAGACAGACAACACTGGAAGCAGACAGACAACAATGGAAGCAGACAGACAACACTGGAAACAGACAACACTGGAAGCGGACAGACAACACTGGAAGCAGACAGGCAACACTGGAAGCAGACAGACAACACTGGAAGCAGACAGAAAGCACTAGAAGCAGACAGACAACACTGGAAGCAGACAGACAACAATGGAAGCAGACAGACAACACTGGAAGCAGACAGACAACACTGGAAGCAGACAGACAACACTGGAAGCAGACAGACACCACTGGAAGCAGACAGACACCACTGGAAGCAGACAGACACCACTGGAAGCAGACAGACACCACTGGAAGCAGACAGACACCACTGGAAGCAGACAGACACCACTGGAAGCAGACAGACAACACTGGAAGCAGACACACCACTGGAAGCAGACACACCACTGGAAGCAGACACACCACTGGAAGCAGACAGACACCACTGGAAGCAGACAGACACCAATGGAAGCAGACAGACAACACTGGAAGCAGACAGGCAGCAATGGAAGCAGACAGACAACACTGGAAGCAGACAGACAACACTGGAAGCAGACAGACAACAATGGAAGCAGACAGACAACACTGGAAGCAGACACACCACTGGAAGCAGACAGACACCACTGGAAGCAGACAGACACCACTGGAAGCAGACAGACACCACTGGAAGCAGACAGACACCACTGGAAGCAGACAGACACCACTGGAAGCAGACAGACACCACTGGAAGCAGACAGACACCACTGGAAGCAGACAGACAACACTGGAAGCAGACAGACAACACTGGAAGCAGACAGACAACACTGGAAGCAGACAGAAAGCACTGGAAGCAGACACACCACTGGAAGCAGACAGACACCACTGGAAGCAGACAGACACCACTGGAAGCAGACACCACTGGAAGCAGACAGACAACACTGGAAGCAGACAGACAGCAATGGAAGCAGACAGACAACACTGGAAGCAGACAGACAACACTGGAAGCAGACAGACAACAATGGAAGCAGACAGACAACAATGGAAGCAGACAGACAACACTGGAAGCAGACACACCACTGGAAGCAGACAGACACCACTGGAAGCAGACAGACACCACTGGAAGCAGACAGACAACGCTGGAAGCAGGCAGACAGCAATGGAAGCAGACAGACAACACTGGAAGCAGACAGACAACACTGGAAGCAGACAGAAAGCACTGGAAGCAGACAGACAACACTGGAAGCAGACAGACAACAATGGAAGCAGACAGACAACACTGGAAGCAGACAGACAACAATGGAAGCAGATAGACAACAATGGAAGCAGACAGAAAACACTGGAAGCAGACAGAAAACACTGGAAGCAGACAGACAACACTGGAAGCAGACAGACAACACTGGAAGCAGACAGACAACAATGGAAGCAGACAGACAACAATGGAAGCAGACAGAAAACACTGGAAGCAGACAGAAAACACTGGAAGCAGACAGATAACACTGGAAGCAGACAGAAAACAGGGAAAGCAGACAGACCACAACACATGACTCTATACATCTGTATACAGCATTTACAACACTGACTTTCTCTTAGGGACGCGAGTTTTGTTCTTGGGTGTTGGACGTAATGCAACATTGCAGATGTTGCAGATGTCTGCCCAAATGCCTCGGCATGACAGTGGCTTTCTTTGCACTTGTAAATCAATATTGAAATTACACATTGTAAACCATGTATGGAAATAAGACTCCTTATAACATGTCAATCACACGTAAATTTTCCCTGGAAATAAAAATTTGAATTTGATTAGATTTGAGCTGAAGCTACCAGTCAACAAGACCCGGAAAACACCTGGATGTATGTACCTGCAGGGTTCAGGTTCTTAAGAAGGTAAATTGGTACCTGGGTAATACAGATACAGGTACACACAAGTACAATTACCATACATAGGGACATATATGTAAATTACCTAGAATAAACCGAAAAAGTCAAAGTGGATTATTTCGACAGAGGTCCAGGTAATATTTACAACTTAGCTGTAAGTTGCAGTAGAACTGTCATATAAATAACTAGATGGTTTAACAAATGTTTATGTGAATATAATATTAAAAAATGCTTGTGTTTGTTTTATTAACACACACACACACACACACACACACACACACACACACACACACACACACACACACACACACAACACACCAGGAGCTTGGACTCGACCCCTGCAACCTCAACTCGGTGAGCACACACACACACACACACACACACACACACACACACACCACACACACCACACACACACACACACACATAACACACACAGGAGCTTGGACTCGACCCCTGCAACCTCAACTCGGTGAGCACACACACACACACACACACACACACACACACACACACACACACACACACACACACACACACACTATGACAAGTAACAGAAGTAAGACACGAGAGAAAGAGAGGGTGGGTTGATTGCTTTTTCCTGGACTGCAGGAAGGCCTTCGACACAGTTCCTCATATGAGGTTAGTGCAGAAGCTGGAGGATCAGGCACGTATAACAGGAAGGGCACTGCAGTGGATCAGAGAATACCTGACAGGGAGGCAACAATGAGTCATGGTACGTGATGAGGTATCACAATGGGCACCTGTGATGAGTGGGGTCCCACATGGGTCAGTCCTAGAACCAGTGCTATTCTTGGAATATGTCAATGACATGATGTAAGGGATAGACTCACAAGTGTCCCTGTTCGCAGATGATGTGAAGTTAACGAGGAGAATTAAATCAGATGAGGATCAGGTAGGACTACAAAGAGACCTGGACAGGCTGGACACCTGGTCCAGCAACTGGTTTCTCGAATTTAACCCTGCCAAATGCAAAGTCATGAAGATCGGGGAAGGGCACAGAAGACCGCAGATAGAGCATAGGCTATGTGGCCAAAGACTGCAAACCTCGCTCGAGAAAGATCTTGGGGTGACCATAACACCGAGCATGTCTCCGGAGGCACACATCAACCAGATAACTGCCGCAGCATATGGGCGCCTGGCAAACCTGAGAACAGCGTTCCGATACCTTAGTAAGGAATCGTTCAAGACACTGTACACCGTGTACGTCAGGCCCATACTGGAGTATGCAGCACCTGTTTGGAACCCACACCTGGTCAAGCACGTCAAGAAATTAGAGAAAGTGCAAAGGTTTGCAACAAGGCTAATTCCAGAGGTAAGGGGAATGTCCTAGGAAGAAAGGTTAAGGGAAATCTGCCTGACGACACTGGAGGACAGGAGGGTTAGGGGAGACATGATTATGACATACAAAATACTGCGTGGAATAGATAAGATGGACATAGGATGTTCCAGAGATGGGACACAGAGATAAGGGGTCACAGGGATGTTAGGAAGCATTTCTTCATAGAGTTGTCAGGAAGTGAAATAGTCTGGGAAGTGACGTAGTGGAGGCAGGAACCACATATAGCTTTAAGACGAGGTATGATAAAGTTCATGGAGCAGGGAGAGAGAGGACCTAGTAGCGATCAGTGAAGAGGCGGGGCCAGGAGCCGAGTCTCGACCCCTGCAACCGCATATAGGTGAGTACATATAGGTGAGTACACACACACAAGCAAACAAAACAGGCCAAGTGTATTTTGACAACTAGGGCGAGTCCAGAGCGGCGTTTCAAGTGAACCTTTGAGAGTCGGACGTGATGTGAGGCCTCAAGACTGACGTGACCACAGTGACCAGACTAGTAGTGAGCTCAACAGTGTCATGACCAGACTAGTAGTGAGCGCAACACAGTGTCATGACCAGACTAGTAGTGAGCGCAACACAGTGCCATGACAAGACTAGTAGTGAACGCAACACAGTGCCATGACCAGACTAGTAGTGAGGTCAACAGTGCCATGACCAGACTAGTAGTGAGCGCAACACAGTGCCATGACCAGACTAGTAGTGAGTGCAACACAGTGCCATGACCAGACTAGTAGTGAGTGCAACACAGTGCCATGACCAGACTGTAGTGAGCGCAACACAGTGCCATGACCAGACTAGTAGTGAGTGCAACACAGTGCCATGACCAGACTAGTAGTGAGCGCAACACAGTGCCATGACCAGACTAGTAGTGAGTGCAACACAGTGCCATGACCAGACTAGTAGTGAGTGCAACACAGTGCCATGACCAGACTAGTAGTGAGCGCAACACAGTGCCATGACCAGACTAGTAGTGAGTGCAACACAGTGCCATGACCAGACTAGTAGTGAGTGCAACACAGTGCCATGACCAGACTAGTAGTGAGTGCAACACAGTGCCATGACCAGACTAGTAGTGAGTGCAACACAGTGCCATGACCAGACTAGTAGTGAGTGCAACACAGTGCCATGACCAGACTAGTAGTGAGCGCAACACAGTGCCATGACCAGACTAGTAGTGAGCGC